CCCATTACAAAGACATGTACTGAGAGAAAGACAGGGGATTCCATTTCACACCATCTGCCTGGCTGCTTTCTAAGTCATTGACCTGGGAAGATCTGGCAGATTAGAAAGTCAGCATGCAGTCAAAGCATCTGATCTGCATCCTTGTTCCAGGTCAGTGGTTCCAAGTCAGTGGCTCAGAAGGTAATACATCTATTGGATCAGCATAACACCCAATCACCTAGCATTTTTAGAAGGACAGCTCCATATTAATTTCACACCATCTGCCTGGCTGCTTTCTAAGTCATTGACCTGGGAAGATCTGGCAGATTAGAAAGTCAGCATGCAGTCAAAGCATCTGATCTGCATCCTTGTTCCAGGTCAGTGGTTCCAAGTCAGTGGCTCAGAAGGTAATACATCTATTGGATCAGCATAACACCCAATCACCTAGCATTTTTAGAAGGACAGCTCCATATTCTCTCAGTTCTTTCGAAAGTTTAGTTGCAAAGCGATAGCGAAGAAATGTTGAACGACAAATTCAAATCGGGAACAATAATATTTAAATCACATCTAATATGGATAGAAATCTGCAGAGTGAACTCTGTGACATATTCATTTTGTGCACAAGGGTCCTGCTTTTAGCTGCCAACCTAATGAACATAATAGATTCACTCGGACACTCCATTCCTGATAAGCAAGTTATGATCATACAGAAATCAGGCAAAAGATAGGTCTGAGGATTGAAAAAACAAACAGTAAGCCTTCAGAAAAACAAGAAGATTTCTAATGTCAGGCAGATAAGGATGAAGCATACATACCAGATTAGACACTGACACAAAACATAAATTGCTATGCTCTGCTTTTCTTGATTTTCTCCGATTATCAGTTCCATTTGAATTGACATGAACAAACAGATAAGGCTCTGCCTTTTTAATGCTATCCATACACTGTGCAATATCAATGGCGACAAAAAGCAAATGGAAATATGCTCAGTGTATCCAAGTGATTGACTTGGAAAAAAAACAAAAAAACAACATATGATAAACTTTCCACTAAAAAACAATATAATGCATGGACATGGTCGTAAGCACCATTAATGGGTGACCATAGATGGAGAAACATGTGTGTGTTCATCTTCTGAGCTCTAACATCTATGGCAACAGAAATTATGGAGTTGATCTGCTGGGAAGCCCATTAATCATAATCTGGCAACCAGGGCAGCCA